ATCGGCGGCCACGCCCAAGTGCCGGTGGAAGAACCGAGGTCTGCAGCGGCGGCGTCCGGATCTTCCTCTTCATCTGGACTCCCTGGCGCTAGGTCTTCTGCCACAGCAGCTGCTGGTGGTGGTGCCGCCGGTGGTGTTGCCCGTAGGTAGGACTGATGGCGCGCGCGTGCCTGCGGCGACGCTCTTGCGGGCGGCGGCGGCGGCGGTGATGGCGGTGGTAGTTGGTGGCCGTAGTGGCAGTGGTTTCGCCTCCCGACCAGGCGCCGCTCCGGTCGTCCCAAGTAAAAAACGAGGGGCCCGACAGAGTGGACAGCTCCTAGGTGGGACCTGTAGCCCAGCAACAGAGCCCCCGCCCTCTTGAGTCGAAACGCGTTCTCAGCTTAAGTGCGTCGTGTTTCATGCTTCGGGCTTTGGGGTTTCGGGGGCGGTAGCGCGTCGTTGGTGTTGTTACCCCTCGCCTCGCGCACGGTAGCGACAGATGACGGTGGTGTTGAGGGGAGGAGGAGGGGAGGGGAGAGGGCCGAAGGAGGCGTTGTCGCTGCCCTTGCGCGCTACAGTATCACCCCGAGGTGGAAACAACAAACCTTCGTCGGCCGACACGGGGTCGCGTAGACCGCTTCGTGTTTAGGGCTTCGCCGTTCGGGAGGCGCGGGGGAGGGCGCGCCACGGTCGACTTGCCGCCCCCCGATGGCAGCAATGTGGTAGCTGTGTCGAGAGGGCAACGGGCGCCGGGCTTGCTGCACGACTCTTTTCAGCCAGCGCCTTGTAAGAAGATTCGCCCCCTACGGAAGACGGAGACTCTCTTTTCACCCTTTCGGCTTTGATTTCATCTTTTGGCTTGGTCTCATCGTTTGGCTTGAGTGGCAATACCCTCAGGGTCGACGGCGCAGAAGCGTCAGACAGCCTCCTACCCGCGGTCAGGAAGTGGTTGGTTGGTCTTCCGGTCGTCGGACGTGCTGCAATAACCGTGATGAGCAGGATCTACGGTGCGTTCGGGAGGGTACAGTACAAACAGGTTGGGGCAGGGTGTGCCGGACGCCTAAAAGGCTGGACAATGTAGTGTAGAGGGCGTTCATCAGTAGCACAATCATGTTGTGAGGAGAGGCTGCGGAACTACAGGTGG